TTGTGTGTGTGTGTGTGTGTGTGTGTGTGTGTGTGTGGTAGTGTATGTGTGCGCGCGCGTGTTTCAACACGCAGGAGTGTAAGGAGATATGTTTATGTCTGTTTGTATGTGTTTGCTTGTGCGTGTGTGTGCACAGTGGTACATGTTTGGTCCCATTTTCCTCGGTAATTGTCAAGCTCATTTTGCTACTTCAAATTTACAAAGTTCTATCTGCTCAGTATGCCTACCTAATTTTGAGAAATTTGTCGTGAAAAATTTTGAGTTTCATATTATTCCAAGCCTTTTTTAATGCAATTCTTTGAATATCTTGATGATGACTCAGAATAACCTTACAGTTTTTAAAGGGAAGATAGAACATTTGGTTTCTGACCTCGTAGTCTTAGTAACTCAAAACGGTCGAAAATGTCAGATAGAACTTTGTAATTCTGAGGTAGCGATTTGTATTAAACTGTGCATGAAATAGAAACAATAGCAACACATGATAGTGGATGCCCCTTCCTTCGTCCTTATCATTTCTGTTTTGTATTTTCGGAATTTTTTTTTCGTTGTTGCCTTTTTAGCACCTCTGTATAACCATCATCAAAATTCATGTGTCGTGGGTGGTTAGAGAGGGGGGGGGGCATCACCGGTAGATTATCTAGGTCTTTTTTCTTTTCTTTATCTCTGTTGCGTCTGTCTGTCTGCCTTACTTTTCCCAACTTTAATATTTTCTTTCTCTCTGTTGTTTTTGTTTGTCTGTCTTGCCCTTTCTCTACATCAAGTGAGCGTTAATAAGTCGATGGGCTTATGTTTCATTAAACAAACATCTTTCATTAAATAAACATCTTTCATTAAACAAACATACAAACGAACTAAACTAACCCAAACATTTTGCCATTTTATTCACCTGATATGACAATCGTCAATGGAGATGTTGCAACTTAAAATAGACAGAGCTACATGGGGGTGTTTCCAAGTTTCCAAGTTTTGTCGAAAGATTTCTATCAATATGTATCCCCGTCAGAGATAGAGCGGATTCCAAAAATGCAATATATTTTTAAGGACTTGAATTAATTCCGTCTTTGGGGCGATTTAGGTTTCATCCATTGTCGATATGACGTTTGCACGAGATAAGACTTTCTTTTAAAACTTGTGTTATTGTTGTGGGGGATTTTCTGCCGCTATTCCTGTTATCATTATTGCTGCGTCTGTTGTTATTGTTGTTTTTGCTGTTGTTGTTGCCATTTTTGTTGTTGTCACCGTTTCTGATTTTATGATGTTGATGAGCTTTAGAATCTTAATTATATATAGTGGCGTCCAAAAGAAACTTGAAAAAGTAATCACTCAATCATTGTGTTAAAGCCTTGCACTACCCTCTCATTCGGCATACCAATTTAAAGCTGAATAAATTCTGCATCACCTGACACGTTAATTTATTCATTTATGCTAAGAGACGCCCGAGATATGGTCACTTGAAATTTACCTTCAAAAATCAGGATTGGCAAAATTGTGCGAAAGCAGAGAGAGTGTGTTCACGCGTATATTGAAGTGCATCCACATTGGTGGAATGGACATGTATTGAATATCAAATGAAAGAAAATATTATTGCCTCTAAAATGAACGTTATCTTCTGATGATATTTTCAGAATGGAGAACTGAGCAGTTACAAATATCACACAAAACCTGGACTTACCATAACATGTGCTCATTAGTATGAATGTTGTTTTTGTTTAGGAGTTAATACGAAACCTTTTTGCCCATGGACTGTGTTAGTTTGATTTTGGGCATAACCGTCTATCAGTGATAAACAGAGGCCACTAAACTGCCATGGATTTGGGTGGTCTGGGGTGGAAAAAACAAAACCGCTCTCATGAGAATCACCGGATGGCTTGGTTTAGTGGCATCGCACAAGTGCTGGAACGTCATGTCTTACCCTGATTTTCGTCATGGTGTTATTCGAGTAGACATCTCCATGAATAGCAAAGAATTTTCTCACAGGGCCAATGCCCCTAGATAACTTGTGGAAAACCAAATCAAACCAACGTTGGAGTGGTCACTAGTAAATAGCCCCGCTATGAATCCTACAGGTATGTGTAGAGTGAATTACCATGAAACAGCAGCTGAAGAAAGGCGATTCTGCTCCCTATTCAGACCCCTATTTTACAACTCTCTGTGATATTTGAGATGAAATGACGGAGTATTATGTCCAAATTTAACAGAATTGATGCCCAAAGGGTTCGTGTACTGCACAGAACCAATGTCTCCTTAGCAAAATAACAATGAGCACAATTTAATATGATGTCTAAGTTTTGCATGGCATTTGTGATTGCTTTGTTTTTCCATTTTGTTTGAAAATTTCGTTACAACATATCAAAATAGAATATTGTTTTTTGCAATACAAATACTCTCCATTAACTGAATACGTAATGATTGTCCATTCTGTCAATATTGATGCTCTTCAATACACGCGGGAAGACAATTCTACGTTTCTTTGATTTCGCACAATTTTGCCAATCCTGATTTCTTAAGGGACACTAGGTACAGCTGAAGTGAAAATGTTTGTTTGGGCTGTAAATTGAGTATACTGGTCTTCCCAATAACTGAAACACACTATCCCTATATGATTTCACTGTCTATTTTCTGAATTCTTCAGATGCAAAGGGTTCGACAGACCAAAATTCGCGCAAATTCTGTAAGGTATTCTGAAAAAGATTGAATAGATACAGCCTTGATATTTTAACACAGCATTTCTTACATACAACCTGCAAAGTACTAAAGATTTACTTTCCTAAGTCTCATACTTTTCTTGTTACTGCCCTTTTAGTGTCATATACGATATTCCGACAAAAAATTGATCACTAATAAGAGTAATACTGTCAATCTTTTTTACACTGACAGAAAACTTATTACAATATCACAATAATCTTTTAGTACGTTGCAAACATAGTATCTAGAAACAGTCATGCAAAGTGGGATTGAGCTGTGACTTGTGCTTTCAGAAATATCTCTGCACAGATGACCCACCCCCCTAAGAAAATCATAGTTTTGAGAAAACTGAAAAAAAACCGAATTCATACTGGTCTATTTCAACAAAATGTTCACAAACATGGCATATTCTGAGCTTTTTATAGATGTTTTAGACACTTGAAAATATTTCCATTCGATAAAGCAGATATTGCTCTACTAAAATAGTCAAAAATCGAAAAATCGGTTTCAGACCAAAATCGACTTTTTCTGGCTGTCAGCTACTGCCGTGGTGTACCTTAAGGTCAGTTTCTAGGGACTATATCTCGGGTGTCTCTTAACATAGATGAACTATTAATGTGTCAGATTATGTTGAATTTATTTAGCTTTAAATGGGTATGCTGCATGAGTAGGTGATACGAGGTTTTAACACAATGGTCGCCACTGTATAAATTTTTACATCCAATATCCATGTCACCTCCTTCTCCGTTTGATCGTTATTTGTACCGGTACACAATGTCTTTCTAAACTCACCGACGTCTGTGGTGTAGTGGCTAGGTGCTTTGTCGTAACATGCAGAAGACATGAGCTCGATTCCCGTGCGTCAAGAATTATTACCGAGTATATCAGTCTGTTTTGGGCGTTGTTTCCCTTTTGGCCCAGTTTGGCCGAGACCGACTGAATAAGCGCCCCACGCTTCCACAATAATCTAAATTCTGTCAATAGGGTCGGTAAAATCTATAATTGCAATAATATTTCAATCTTATCTAAATGAGCCTGGTGATAACTCCTTTGTGTTGAAGTAATGTGTGGCACACCTTTTAGCTGGTATCAGTTTTCTCATATTAAATCTTTCTTCTTTTTTTCTGTTTTTAATAATAATTGCATTTATATAGCGCATTTCCATGCTCTTTAACATGCTCTATGTGCTCTACAACTATTTCTACCCCAGCAGACCCTTTGAGAACTCCCAGAAACATTCTCGGCTTCCCAGAAAGCATACAGTGCAAGGCGCGGATTTCACGCGCTCAAACAATATCAAACTGACAAGATCGTTCACTATCTACAAACAGGTACCCATTTCCACCTGAATGAATGTGGAAAATTCATGCAAAGTGCCTTTCTCAAGGACACAACATCGTGCCCCTGACGGGATTCGAACCCAGATCCTTACGGTTGCGAGTCGGAGAGCATAACCACTATGCCACCGACGCCACCAAAGTCTCGAATTTTTAAAGATTTTTTTTTTTATCGTTGAGTGAATGTGTTACTCATTATACAAAAAGAAACATGATTCAAACCACAAATTTTGTTACAGAAAGGGACAAAGAACGAGCTGGAAGTGGCGCGAACATTCGGCACCATCTTCAGCAACATCAACTTCCGCCAGGAGCTTCTGGAAGCTTCTACGGAGGATAACTTCAAGGAGATCCTGGGACGTGTGACCCACTCTCTGGCCGAGCTACACTCCAGGGCAGATGTCAAACTGGACTTGTCGGACGAGACTCCGGTGAGTTTATTTGTTATCTTTAGTAGTAGTAGTAGTAGTAGTAGTAGTAGTAGTATAGGGTTTTACGGCGCTCGCAACTGCCAAGGTCATATGAGCGCGCGAAACACAAGTTGTTTACTTTCGCAAAAGTTCACTGCTCGGTTGGTTAGCCTTCAGCCTTTAAAATGTTAAAATGTTTAAAAATCAGTGTAGATATATATAAATTTTCGACCTTAAAACAATTTTTCAAGTAACATAAAAAATTTTAATAGTATCAATTTCACTCTACAACTCGCCATAAAGGCCAATGGCCTTTATAAAATTCAAAATTCTGCTGGGAACAACGACGGAAAAAATGTCTTGCAATTTCTTTCATTTATAGTATTTCCTTCGGATCTCTCCAAAGTCCAGACATTCGGTTAAGATGTGTCTAATGGTAAAATCTGTGTTGCATACGACACAGAACGGCTTCTCATCTCCTTGTAGGAGGTATTTGTGGGTCATGGCCGTGTGTCCGATGCGCAATCGAGTAAAAATGATTTCGTCTCTTCTGGAGAGGTCCGAAGGATTTCGCTATTCTAGTTTAGGTTTGTTATCTTTTTTGTTTGTCTGCTTGTTTGTTTTGTTTTGGGGTTGTTGTTTGTTTTTGT